TCCTAAACTGCTCCAGACCCCCAAACCCTAAACCCTAAATATCAGCTCTGCAACCCCAAACTACCCAAAATCCTAAACGCATACACCCTGTACCCTAAGCCCCAAGCAAACCGTGGCACTTGAAGCTCTTGGCTACTGGCAGGACAACATCAGTGCTGAGCTCGCTGTTTCCCCTTGAGACTTCGACGAAGAGCTTCGTCTTGCATGGGAGGGGTTAAGGCCGTTAAGGGTTTAGGGTTTAGGGGTTTAGGGTTTAGGGGTTGAGGGGTTGAGGGTTTGTTCGGCATTCGCGTTTTTGCGTTTCGGGTTTATCAAGCCTTAGGGTGTAGGTGTTGGCAACCTAAACACCAAAAGCCCGAAGCCCCAGAGCTCTCAACTCTTTAAAAACCTAGACTTGTGCGTGTGTAGTAAAAAAGGCACTACTCTCTGAGACCCGAGGAAAAATCAGAATTCAGGCAAATCGAAGTTCTCACCTTTTCACGAAGCGCATCAGTTCAAACTGGGCATGATTAGCTCCAGACGTGTAATGTAGGAACCTGATTAAGAAACCTAGGGCCTTGGGCCTTTATTAGAGTTCCACATATGAGTCCTACTATTTTGGGGTTATAAGGCCCATGGTTTCTTAATCAGGTTCCTACATTAGATCATTCGAACAACTGCTCAGCAGGGTTCTCCCGCTACCAGGTCCGAAGGAGCCTTTATTCCTTTCTTGTGTCTTAGGTTGCTCATACACTACCCAGACCCGCCACCGATCAGGGAGCCCCTTTTTTATTCCTAACATACAGGGGGTCCTCCGCTGAGTTCGTTCTGGACTTAAGGCAAGGTGCTCGTATACCAAGTAGTAGAGTAGGTAACCTTTAACCCTTTTTGGGGTACTATAATGTATAATCCTTACATCAGTCATATATTCTTCAAGGTTAACCTTCAGTTCCCCAGGATACTGGGCAAGTACGTCTACGACTCCTGCGAGCCCCTACAAAGCACGATGCTGACCCTTCATCTCGGATTTGGCGATTCCCAGTCACAGGCCTTTTCGGAGCTGTGGGGCATTGCGAGGCTTCCGGGGGTTCGGCGACCTACTATTTGCTTAAGAACCCCCAAAAAATAAAAAATATATTCCTTATGGGGGTAATATAGGGATTATTATTTTTATTTTTTGGGGGTTTCTTAAGCAAATAGTAGCGACTTAGGTCCCAAAAGACCATCCTTACCATGTTTGTTGGGAAGCGAACTCCATGAGAGTAGTATACACGGACCATTATGGACCTTCTTGGCACGTCACTTCAGCTTATGCTTCGTTGATATTGAACACACACACACACACACCACAACAGGGTTTAGGATCTAGGGGGGGGGGTCTTTGCTGAATTTTCACATGACCCTAAACCCTAACCCCTAGAAGCCCGAAGCCCTAAACCCGCAAATCCAAGCAAGTAAAAAAAGTTTCAAAACCTAAAACGTGATATTATTCTACATACTATTTGGGGGTCCTGAAATCCTAAACCCCTAAACCCTGCCAGGGCTAGCAGGGTTCGGAAAAGGTCCGCTACTGTTGATGGTATACATCCTGCATTACCCATAATAAGGAAGATACCATAATTCCCATAGTTTAGGGTCCTTAAGGTCATGCAGGATTTATATCATCAACCGTATCATTGATTAAAAGGGAAACCCCTAGAAACCCGAGAGCAGCCGTGTTCCCTGTGTCAAAGGGGAAAAGGAGGGACCCTTAATGGGGACCCCTACCCTATGACGGGGCTATATATAATGGGTATATAATAGCTATATATATATATATATATATATATATATATATACCTAGCGGTCCTTTTTAAGGGTCCCTCCTTTTGCCCTTGGACTGTGGCCAGTCACTACTGTCGGGAAGCATGACACCACTTCCCACGAGCTGGGTGGCCGGGCCTCAGGAGTTCAACAATCCCAGCAATCCTGGGTTTAGGGTTTAGGGTTTAGGGGTTTAGGGGTTTAGGGTTTAGGGTTTAGGGTTTAGGGTTTAGGGGGTCTAGGGGTTTGGGGTTTCAGGACCCCCAAACTGTATGCAGAACAATATCCCGTTTTGGGTTTTGGGCACTTGTTTACTTGCTTAGGTTTGTGGGTTTTGCTAGGTAGCGGCTATATCGCATAGGCACGAAAATTATGTAGGGGTTGGAGTAGCGATTACTGTTATCCCCCCAGTCTCCTTCGTAAGACTTCTGTAGGGGCCTTGATGATTAGATTAGGAGGATCCTCTGGGCTCCTTGTCATAAGCATAGCATAGTATACCCCGAAACCCTATTCTAATTGTTAAGGCAGGGTTTAGGGTTTAGGGTTCTACAATACCCCCTAGTGGTGGCTTTGCTTCAATGCACTGCAAGACACAGATGCACAGAGGTAAGAACCTTCGGCCGAGTTCTTGCCAAGGCAAAGCCGTTTGCCGTGAGCGCTAAACCATGCTATACCCGAATATAGGGCCTTACGGATTGGAATAGGTTTTTCTTTAAATCCCTAATCCTTAGCCCTACCCGGTACCCATAAAACCGACACCCCCTAAACTTTAAACTCCAAAACATAAGCCTAACCCTACGCCCCTTCTGGCTGAGGTAATTCAGTGCACGGGCGGATCCTTTGACGGAGACTCTTCAACTCCATCAGGATCCGCAGGCCGCTGGTCGGGGAGCACATACCCCACCCCATGTTTAAGACACGTACTTCTCTCGAAAGCAGATCCTAACCAAAGAAGCAGGCACCCAAAAAAGGGTTAGGGTATGAGTCTCTAGGTAAATGCTAAGTCATCATCATCATCGTTTTGTTCCTCTTCGTCGATCCGTGAACATAGTGTTGTCATAACCAAGACGCAAACGACAATAAACGCGACTGTGACATTGAGCATAACAATGGCTCGGATCATTAAGGACAAAAACAAGAAAGAGGATAGTCTCAGGCTGCGCTTTCCAACAGGTCTGTGCGAGTGCAATGAGGGGAGACGGCGCGCCCCAGCCCGTGGTTGTCAAGTCCATCTGTGGTTACGTTTGCGTTCGCTGCGGACGTGCAATCTAATATAGTCATGACGTCAGCCTGCATGTAGATGCTGCAATGCAGACGACCACCCTGGTCATTCTCGGCTTTCTTCGGACTTGTATGTAACAATAGAAGCCGTATATATCTGATGAACCCTAAGCCCGATGCTTGCGGGAGGTGGCTTGCTGGACACACAGGACTTGATCGACAAGATCGCCCGACTCCAGGCAGGGTGTAGTGTCGATCTGCAGCTTGCATTGCTGCGGTTCCTGCGCTAATCATTTTGACTTCCTTATGTTGCTCCTTACCCAAAGGGTCCAAGTAATGGCCATAGTATAGACTTTGGGGGCCCAAATATCTACTAAGTAGCTACTACATTGGTACTTGGACCCCTTTTAGGATCGATGGAGTTCAGGTACTTGAAGGCTCATGGGCCTTAGTAAGTAAGGTTATAAGTAGGTTATAAATAGGATAACCCCACTTAGGGGACTTACAACCCCAGTTATAACCTACTTACTAAGTCCCATGATCCTCTAAGTAGGGTTCAAGGCTTCGGACCCTAAAACCAAAAACCCTCCCAAAGAGTTCAGGTTGGGTTTCGGGCTTCGGAGACATTCTGAGTCCTCCTCCTTCTTCTTGGATCAGATCCCTGTGCCCCCCAGAGCTCCCCAGCGGCTTCATTTATAGATAATATATTATAATATAGAAATACGATCATATAGTGTAATATGCCATACTATAAACTACTATAATAAGATACAGCAGAATAACATGTGTATACATATATATATATATATATATATACACATGCAGAGTATGTGTTTAGGGTTGGGGTTAGGGTATGTTAGCCGACCCTTAAGATACTTATACAGGAGCCCCTTGGCGGCCAAAGTACATACGATATAGGCACATTCAAGACCACTTAAAGGATCATGGGACTTAGTAACTAGGGTTATGAATAAGGTAACTATACTTATGATTTCTTATAACCCCAATTAGGGGACTTATAACCTTACTTACTAAGTCCCCTGATCCTCCAAGTAGACCCTAAACCCTAAACCCTATAGATCCCCTTAAGGAACCCTTTAGATCCCTTTAAGGAGCCCTTTAAGAACCCTTACTAAGTCCTCCAAGCAGGAAGCCCGAATCACCAGACCTTCACCCCCGAGCTGAGAGCAGCTGCTTTCGTGCTCCTGCGTCGTTGAGCCGGTTAGGGATGAGGGTTCCTTAAAGGGATCTATAGGGCTCCTTAAAGGGATCTATAGGGCTCCTTAAAGGGATCTATAGGGCTCCTTATAGGGATCAAAAGAGACCTGAGCCCTGAAAGCCTATATACTTTCTTTTCATTTTTCAGGACCTAGAAACCCGAAACCTCCTCGCTCCGTCTCTAGAATTCATCTGGAGCTATTATACCCTGGTTTACCAAAACTCTAGTATACTGTACATCGAGACCGGAGAAGGATCTCAAAAAAGGCAGGTCACTTAGTCCAGGGAAAAAGGAGGGACCCTCAATAAGGACCCCTAGGTATATACCCTTAATATAGCTATTATATACCCATTATATAGCCCATTTGAGGGTAGGGGTCCCCAGTAAGGGTCGCTCCTTTTTTCCTTTGATTTAGGGTTCAGGCGAGACCCGGGTTGACAAAGCTGTGATCTTGGCTGTCCATTAGATTCTCCCGTAGGGTTCAGGGTTTACCAGCATTAGGGTTTAGCGGTTTAGAGTTTAGGGTTTAGGGTTTAGGGTTCTCCCTAGTATACTCAGTTGCCATAAGGGGTCTTTTAAAGGGTACTTGGGAGCTGCTGGTGGGGTCTTACCCCAGAGCCCTATTCACATCGTTCCTGTTGCCATCTTACAAGGTGAGGGCCCTCGCCCTAAGCCCTAAACCCCTAAACCCTAAACCCTAAACCCCTAAACCCCTAAACCCTGAACCTCTAAACCCGAAACTCAACGACGCGCTCTGCAGGCGGTGGCAGAGGCGGTCATGCACCCCCCACCGGGCTTGGCAATCCAGGAGCAGCTGAGGGACGAAAATGAATAGAAGTCTGAGCAGTAACAGTTGCTGATGCTTTTGTTTAAGTTTAGGTTTCTTCATGTATGTGTGATATCTGGTTTATGAATGTGTGCGTCTATTATTGTACCACAAAAATCCTCTTCTACACCCTATGTTTCTCGCTCCTGTACAGTTGCTGATCACCGTAGCCCGTCGAAGAGTCGTCCACTCAATTCCATCAAGACTCCCTAAACCTTAAACCCACAGAGGTTGCTAAAACAATGGCCCACCTTACTTGTCTAGGACCAACGGGAAACTGAAAGTTAACCTTCGGGGTTACGTCGGGTCAAATCACCGCAAAAGGTTAAATGGTCACCTACTCCACTGCTAAGAAACCCAAAACCCTCTTCAGCCCTAAATCCTAAATCCTAGACTCCGAAACCTAAACCCTAAGAAGCTTCACGCTGAGTCTTGCAGCCAGCCCTGACCCTAGCATCCCAGCTCGACGGAAGCTTCGACTTGTCCAGAGGGTTAACCCAAAGGGTCCAAGTAATAGTATAGTATATACTTTTGGGGCCGAAGTACCTACTAGGTACCTACTATGATGGTACTTGGGCCCTTTGGGTAACGGGGTTTGGGGACATCTAAAGGTTCACCAAAGGGTTCCGCTAACGGTTCTGTAGGGGTGGGCTTGGGGCTTGGGACTTTGGATTTCGAGGTTTCAGGGTTTAGCTTAAGGGTACAGCGTTTACCTGGACCCCCAAACTATGTAGAAATATTAGACAGGTCGGAGTAATTGGGAACGAGGTCACCTAATCGTGCGCATATGGTTATTATACCCCATACGAGATTGTACCCATTCTGATAAAGTCCCCCCTGCATTATAGATGTCGGCTGTGATGGATAGCCGCCAGACCGTACGCCTCTCCTTGGCTCTGCCTATAGTCTCCATTGTCGTACCAGGATATATATATATATATAAAAGGATCCTAACCATAAAACTGGTTAACCAAAAAGGGAGCTACAACGGAGACTCTAGGTGGGGTGGCCTTAAGCAACAGGGGGTCTTTCTTTTGGCACTAAGAGCCTTGAGCCTTCTGAGTAGCAATTTAATGGATTCCGGACAAATCCCAAGTGCCAGGACCTCACGCAGTTTTCAACGGAGTTTCACGCAGAGGCCTGGCCTATCCTGAGCGGGTTTGGTCTTCATTGAGGCGATGGACCCAGACCTTCCAAAATTCCTTAATTAAGGAATGTACCTTAAATTATGATAGGGGCCCTAATACGGTCTAACTATTCCTTAATTCAGGGATTTTGGAAGAACTGGGGAGGGTGGAAGCTCGTGGGCTCCAGCAAGAGCACATCCGACAGCGCCGAACACCCCCTTAAATGATAATTATTTATTGAGGTATAGGAGGCCTTGATATTCTGGCAGAGGCATAACTGAACTCCCAAAGTATTCAGAATGGTCCGGATGTTGGTGCTAGGACATTATGTTGCCTACTTTTGGCGGTTCAGGGAGGGGGCTTCATATTCTGAATGAAGTTATACTACTGGATTAAGGGCCTCTGCGCTCTCTGGATTATGCCTTAACAGTCCCGAAGGTTTCGAATCTACGTCCTCGGAATCTCCCCAAACTTAGAGAAATAAGATGGCGTCTGGCTTAGGAATACTGAAACAACGCCTTAGGCCTTAGGCTCTAAGGACCCATATTGTAAGGCTTTTGGGCCCCAAGTACCAGACTATATAAGGCTTTCGGGCTATGTTGAGCCTTAGGGAACAGGGCTTAGGGTTCGCGGTGTTTGTCGCCTTGTGAGTTCCCCAGAGAGCCCAATACCCCTCAATTAAGGAATATAGCTTAAATCATAATATGAAGCCCCAAATGGTTTAAGGTATATTCCTTAATTAAGGTTCACTAGAGTCCCCTAAACCCTAAACCCTATAGATCCCTTTAAGGGAACCCTAAGCACATTATATTCTTTACTTAAGGTGTTTTGGGCTCTCTGGGTCAGGGTTTAGAGGCTTTAGGTTTGGGGCGGTCTAGGGGTTCTGGCTTAGGGGCTTAGCTTTTAGGGTTCGCTTTCCAGACTGGCCGAGAATCCTCGGTCTTTTCGGCAAACAGGCTAGACGCCCAAATGTACTCAAAAGGCCGAATGAAGGACTTTTTCGCAGATTAAGCCCCCTGTCATGTCAGGTATCATCCTTTTTTAGGGTGCACTGGGATCTCTGGGTCATCCTTAAATCCTAAACGTTAAATAATCGACTCTGAAATCTGAAACTTTAATCCTAAATAAACTCCCAAACCATAATAAACCCTAAGCCAAAATAAACCCCCCCAAACCCGAAGAGGCACCGGTGTTGCCGTCTTTTTCGCCTGCGAACCTGCTGACTTCTTTGCCACCCCCGGCTGCACACCCTGTGCCGCGGCCAGCGAAGGCTCTGGGCTTCGCTTGTGTTTTTTTAGGGGGGGGGCTTCGTGGTTGGGGTAGAGTTTAGGGTTGAGGGTTTAGGGTTTTCGCTTCCCAGAGAGCCCAATACCCTTTAATTAAGGAATATAGCTTAAATCATAATATGATTCCCTTATAATTTCGGGTATATTCCTTAATTAAGGGGCATTGTGCTCTCCGGGTTGTTGTTTTTTGGCCTTCGTGGTTGGGGTAGGGTTCCTTTGTAGGGCTCCGATTTGAACCTGAAAAAATGAGAATAGGGTTCTCTTGCAGGGCTCTATCTGAGAAGGTTACTATAATGATAAGGTTTACTCGAAAAGCACCCTAAACCCTAAACCCTAAACCCGGGATCCTTTAAACGGGTCTTCGAGGGGTACAGCAAGGGGTATGAAGGAAGCCTGGAAGTTGCTAATTCAGGGGAGAAGGAGGGACCCTTAATGGGGACCCCTGGGACCCTATAATGGGCTATATAATGGGTATATAATTAATAGCTATATTAAGGGTATATACCTAGGGCCAATGATCCGTCAATTTCTTTGTCATAGTTGGGAAACATTTTACATTTTTATGGGTACTTAAACCCAATAAGGAAAATGTACATTTTTAACCCTATCCCAACCATGAACTAGATTTAGGTACCATGGCATGACGGTTCAAAGCCTCTCTTGCGCGACATTGAACTTATATTATTATAATATGGGTAGTTGTCAAAATTATGGTCCCTTTTGGGGTCCCTATGATAGTACGGCACCTAATATTTAGGGTACCCAAAAAGGGACCATAATTTTGACAACTACCCATATGATTTTCTCGGAGAAAGGGTATTTCGAAGCTTTGTTTTAAAGCCCAAGCCTAAACCCGCAAATCCTAGAACCTAAGTTTAAACCCCTCTTAGCCTGCAAGCCCAGCCTAAAAGCCTCCTCCAATAAGAAGGAAAAAGCACGCGAAGACGCTTTAGGAAAGTTAAAAGCGTTTCTGTGCGTCTTCCCTCATGGCTTGGGGGCCTTCGGAGTTTGACCCCTGACTTCCTGCTGGTTGGGAAGTCTAAGGTCCTGTTTCAGGTCTGGGTCATGGGTGCATTCCTGTTAGGTTCCCGAGTAGTACCCTTTAGGTTTATTTTGGGCTGCCTTGTTACAACCGAGTAGTAGGAAAAGGGGTGCTATTATCATGGGTCTATTTCCTAAACCCTAAACCCTAAGCCTGTGTTCTGACGCCTTTTCTGATGTTCGTTCTGGTATGTTGAGCTGTCGAAATGCATATAGGCTTGGAGGGACCTGGGGCCTAGCACTCCACCCCTAAACCTTCATTTTTTTTCTACACGGGCCTAAAGAGTTTCCAACACTATTTTTGGGGGTTCCTTGTTCTAATTAGGGTAAAGTGGGCCCTAATAGCCAGTTCTAGTGATTCGGCCCCCTACAGCAACCGCCTTCAGGCAATATTTTGTATTCGCGTCCTTCAGTCCCGGGTCGTGTAATCTGGCTGGGTGTTGTGTTTCTTGGAGTCTGCGATATACCTGGAGCGACAACCTGTCTATGGCTTCCTTATATTATACACATACTGTTGAGGGTACGAATCCGGCATTACCTTAAGGCTGAGGATAATGGCATATTCCTTGTTACGGGAATGCAGGATCATCAACCGTAGAATGCTTTTAAACGGTCGGTTTGTCGGGGGCCTCAGGCGGTGTACGAAGGAAGGAACTGCTTCTCTGCACCTGCCGTTGCAGGTCAGTGGGGAGCAGCAGGCACGACCTTGCCTGCCTTGCCGGCAATATCTCGGGCTCCAGTCAGTTACCTATAGTTACCTATAGGCCTTAAATGGGCAGCCTCTATAATGTACCAAAACCCCAAACCCTATGATAGATCCTTAGGCCTCAAATGGGGTCCCTATATAGGTCCTACACTTCTACCTTAACCCAAAAACCTTATGTAGTATATCCTTAAACCTCCCAAACCCTAAACCTTAAGCCCTAGGTAGTGCATCCTTCGGCCTTCCAGAGGGTTTCCTATATATGATAGGGCCGATATAATTACCAACACTAGTTTGGCTGCTGCGTGTTGTAATTATAGGGTTGAGGGGTTTAAGGGTTTAGGGGTTTAGGGTTTAGGGGTTTAGGCTTCGATCCGAGTTCGTGCTGGGGTTGAGGGGTTTAAGGGTTTACAGTAGGGGTTTAGGCTTCGATCCGAATTCGTGCTGGGGTTGAGGGGCTTAAAGGTTTAGGGGTTTAGGGTTTCGGGGTTTAGGCTTCGGGGCTTAGGGTTTGGGTAGTGTGCTGATGCAGGTAGGGTCAGGACCTCCTGAACTTGGACCGGGACTTTGGATCGGGACTGGCAGTGTAGCTCTTAAGCACTTGAAGTACCTATATAGGAATCCCTTTAGGGCCCAAGTCATAAGTAGATACTAAAAGGGTAGTTGTCAAACTTCTGGTGACTTTTTGGCTACCCTAAATATTAGGTGCCGTATTATTAATTAGGGACCCAAAAAGGGACCCTAATGTTGACAGCCACCTATATAGGGTACATGGAGCATCAGGTTACTCAGTCGGAGACTTCGATTCACAGAGACCCCCTGCAGAAGGTTTGGGATAGGCTCGGGGTGGGGAATCCGAATTTCTGCCTTTCCTTACCTTTGGCTAGTAGGGAATGGAAGAATGGGAGTAATAGTAGCTATAGTTGTACCCCATTCCTCCATTCCCTACTAACCAAAGGTAACGTCTGCCTCGCATGTTGCTCGCCCCCAGTCTGTGCAGAACCGGGTTTGACGCTCTACAGATTGCCACAAACTCTACTTGAAGGCTCATGGGACTTAGTAAGTAAGGCTATAAGTAGGTTATAATTAGGATAACCCCACTTAGGGGACTTATAACCCCAATTATAACCTACTTACTAAGTCCCATGATCCTCTAAGTAGTAGACAAAACTGCTTGGCTTTCCAGCATTGCAGGTCAGTTCCAAGGGCACCGTGACTGGCCTCAGAAGTGCTTGCTTTCAAGCTCACGTGCTGTATTGGTGCTGTTCGAAGGATTATGCGTTCTGGGCTTTGGTTACACCTTGTTTGCACAAATGAAATGTTTTCTCCACTTGCTGTGTCGCAACAAGACGCCATGCAGATTGATGTTCGAGCGGCGGCGATCAAGCTGTTCTCGCAGTCCAGCTCGCCTTGTTCACCGTTGGTTCTCCCATGACCATGATCACTTTCAACTTGCAGCACCCTTTTCCCATGTCGACGCACACCATTGACAGGCAAGGTCTCTGTGACTTACAACTTCCGTATGTATATATATATATATGTACACACATACATATGTGTAAGGTTTATATTTAGGATGTGTATGCTTGTGATGTCTACACAAATTGGCAGAGGTGGTAGAGCCTTGCATGAGACTTTTATACGTCAAGTTGCATTGCAGCTTGTGCAACCTGTATCCGATACCTTTATTTCCTTTAGTAGTCGGGTAAGTAACATTCAACCTTCTGGCCTATGTAACTCCATAGCTCAACCTGTAGTTCTACTGGATACTGAGCAGTTTAAAAAAGCCCTGAGCCTTCAAACCCGAACCCTAATCCGCTAAACCCCTAAACCCGATCAGTTCTCCAGCATACCGGACAAGTAGGCGCCACGTTGAATGCCTTGCTGAGATCGGCCATCCATTCACTTGCGCTGGTCCCTGCCGCTATGCTGCTTGTCTCCACATACGTACCAACTATATACATAATACATATATATATATATATGGACACACCCCCCACCATGACCTACCTCGGCCTCTTTTCCATTGTAAATACCGTCAAAACCTTCTCTTGGCAGGGATTCGCGTTTGGCATACGATTCGTGTTTTGCGTAATTTTCGGGGATGATACCTTCTCTATCATGGCTGATGTGAAGTCATGTCTCTTTACAACGTCGTGCCTACTCATGTCCGCTTTCAAATTCATATGCCTGTATTCATAAGCAAGAAACATTGAAAGAAACCATACGATACGACGGCGGAAACCAAAAAGACAAAAATCCAAAAATCCAAAGCCTTTCTGAGGGGCCCGAAACTTTTGGATTTTTTGGTTTTCCCAGGTATTTTTTGTTTTTTGGGGCTTTGCCTTGGCGAAACCATGGCTTTTTTTGGATTTTCGGTGGAAAACCAAAACAACACAAGGTTTTTTGTTTTTTCTGCTGTGTCTCTCGTGAAAAACCAAAAAACACCTGTGTTTTTTTTAGATTTCTGCTGGAAAACTAAAAAAACTTTGGTTTTTGTTTTGGATTTCTGCTGGAAAACCAAAAAAACATTGTTTTTTTTGGTTTTCTGTTGGAAAACCAAAAAAACCCTAGGAAAACCAAAAAATCCAAAAGTTTCGACCCCCCTGACAAAGGTTTTGGATTTTTGTTTTTTTTGATTTTTGGTTCTCGGAGCCTTAGAGCCAATACAGCGCGCAGCATGCTTGATCGGAAATGGTTTCGTTGTTTACGCGCAGTAGTCTTCAGATTTGCATTAGGCATTAGTGTTAGTATTAGTATCTGCGTTCTAGCGTGTTGATTAGTGTTACTGTTAGTGTTGGTGTCAGTGTCCATGTCAATTCCAATGTCAGCGTTAGTATTAGTCTGAATATAAGTCTATACAATAGGTGTACTAATGGTAGTGTTAATGTCTGGTGTGAGTTTTAGTATTCGTATTAGTCTTGGTCTTAGTCTCTGCCTTATTCTTAGCGTTAATATTAACCAGTGTATAGTCTCATATCAGTATATTCTGTGTTTGTAAGTCTATGGTAACATTGGAATAGTAGTATACGAGTATATTATTTAGTGGTATGTGAAAATACAGATTCTTTGGTACATTGATGTGTCTGTTTTTTGTATTTGGTTTGAACGTGATTATTAGTATTCGTAGGAGCATTAATATTGGTATCAATAGCAGTATCGCTGTTCATACTATGCATAATCGTATTAGCTGGAGTATCAAGTGGTAATACTGCTATTCATGTTAGTGTAGGTTCTTTTTAATGTGAATATAAATACTGAGAATAATTAATAAGACTATGCGCATTAGTCTGCGGAGGAACTGTATCACTTATGTGCATATTAGTATTAATGTTAGCATTTGCGTGTATATTGGTAACAAATAAATACTAAAATTACTATCAATATGGGTATGTTTTTTCATATTCGTAGGAACACTAGTATTCATATTAGTATCGGTATTACTGAAAGTACCCGTCTTCGTAAAAGTATTTGTAATCATACTAATTCATATCAGTACGAGTATCAAGATGAATTATGATGCGCATATGAATACGTTCGAAGGAAATGCTGACCTTAATACGAATACCCATATTAATGTCCTATTATGTATAATCGCAGTAGCCTCAGTATTGTTATGAATATTCGGACAAGTATTAGTATTCCAAACAACTAGTACTATTAGTATTCATATTGAGAACAGTTAATAAGAATATGCGTATTAGTATCCCCAGGAGTGTTAATATTCCCATCAGCACTACTATTCGAATTAGTAGTGTAATTTTTAATACTAGTATTAACCATTAAGCCTATTATGTTATGAACAGTAATATCCTTATTCGTAGGAATAGAAATCTTAGTATCAGTATTAGTATTCGCACTAGTAATAGCTATTATACACATTGGCGCATGAGTAACCTAAGAGCTTCACACAGAATAAACATGTGTGCACATGTAACCCTCATTACGATCCTAGGTAGGATGCACACATCGTTCTGTTTTGGTCCCGTCTTTGGGTTATGCCTATGAGTACATGAACAAAATTAAAAACAGACAATGACAAACACAAAGTTACCCGGCGCATCTAACGATCTTACGTAGGATGCAGACACTGTTCTGTCTTGGTCCTGTCTTCGGGTTATGCCTATGGTCATTATATGACCAGAGTTATGAATATCCGGAACATTTAGGCAGTAGTATCCTATTAAACAATTGCAGGCATTGAAGCTTGCCCAAATCCGCCAACGGCGATGTCGCGCCGTCGTAGGTCATTACAGTGTATTCAGCTATTGATTATACACGATATGTGTTTCCATTGTTTATGTATGAGTGTATTTTATCCTAATGGTTTCCTCAAATCCTTACATGTTCTACTACCCATTGCTAGCCGAAGCACCTCACGGTAGGTCTTGGTGGGGGGTGTGAGCATATATATATATATATATATATATATATTTCATATACACAGATCTTAAGATATAAAGATATAAGCAGATAGATACATAGGTAAGTAGTTAGGTTGATAGATAGGGAGCTGAGTAGGTAGGTAGATAGTAGTCAGTTAGGCGTCAAAGTGACCTGGACAAGCAACCCACTGCGAGACCTAAAGATATACTATATATGGGTGGTTGTCAAAATTATGGTCCTGTTTTTAATTTTGAGTCCCGAATATAATACGACACCTAATATTTAGGGTACCCAAAAGGGCCCTAACCTAGAGAACTGCCCATACGTTTCTTCATGGAGCCTCAGGGTAAACCCTATATCTGCATGAACCCCAAACCCTGCGATCGTGGCCTGCGTGTTTCGAGTAGCGAAGGCAGATTACCGCAGACGGCAGTCAAGTGGAGCCGTAAGACAGGGGCAGTAGTAATTAGAACACCCTAAAACCCTGAACCCTCTAACCCTAAACCCTAAACCCTAAAACCCTAAAGCCCTCTAAAGCCCCTAAAACCCTAAGCCCTCTAAAACCCCAAATCCTCTAAAGCCCTCTAAAGCCCCTAAAACCCTAAAGCCTCTAAAGCCCCTAAAGCCTCAAACTCTAAAACCCTAAACCCTAAAACCCTAAAACCCCAAACCCTCTAAAGCCCCTAAACCCTAAACCCCAAAACCCTAAGCCCTCTAAAGCCCCTAAAACCCTAAAACCCTAAGCCCTCTAAAGCCCCTAAGCCCCTAAAACCCTAAAACCAAAAACCCTAAGCCCTCTAAAGCCCCTAAAACCCTAAACCCTCTAAAGCCCCTAAGCCCCTAAAACCCTAAAACCAAAAACCCTAAGCCCTCTAAAGCCCCTAAAACCCTAAACCCTCTAAAGCCCCTAAACCCTAAACCCCAAAACCCTAAGCCCTCTAAAGCCCCTAAAACCCTAAAACCCTAAGCCCTCTAAAGCCCCTAAAACCCTAAGCCCTCTCAAACCTCAAACCCTCTAAAGCCCTCTAAAGCCCCTAAAACCCTAAAGCCTCTAAAGCCCCCAAAGCCTCAAACTCTAAAACCCTAAACCCTCTAAAGCCCCTAAAACCCTAAAACCCCAAACCCTAACACGCCCTAAAACCCTGACTAAGCCCTCTAAAGCCCCCTAACACGCCTAAACCTCCCACTTCCAAGGTAAAGAGGAAAGGCGGCTGCCGAGAAGGCGCCCGCTGCGCCGATGTCGGCCGAGTGGGGATTACACCTAAAAGGGCTGGGTTTAATTAAGCGGGGTTCAGGCTTCACAGTATTTAAACTAAGGTCCCTTTTTGGGCACCCCAAAATATCAGGTGCCGTATTATAATAGGGACCCGAAAAGGGACCTTAATTTTGACTACCACCCATATAGTATATACTTGGGCCTTAAAGTATCCATTTGGGACCCCTTTTAAGGTACATGGAGCCTTTGGGTGGTGTGCCCTAAGGCTCCATGTACCCATATGTGAAAATTGGGGGTACCTTATTTTGGGGTCCTTATAATAAGGATCCTACTATATAGGGTACCATATGAGGGTCCCTTATTTTCGGAAACCCCCATATGCTTAGGCCTTAAAGTGCCCATATAGGGAACCCTCTGAGGCTCAACTATCTACCAGAAAGGTACCTGGAGCCTTTGGGGTGTATGTTTGCTGGTTCGTATGGGCTGGGGTTCTGCTGCGGCCGCTAGAGCTCGCATGGGTGCAAGAGGATTTAGATTTTAGGGCTTTGGGTTTAGGGGTTTTGGATTTAGAGTTTAGGGTTTGGTGCTCAGGGTTTAGGGTTTAGGGTTTGGTGCTCAGGGTTTAGGGTTTGGTGCTCAGGGTTTAGGGTTCAGGCTCCGTTCTGGTCTGGTGGTCGTGCGCTAATTTTTCAATTATATTTCGCTTGATTTCGGGGAATTCGAAATGCTCGCCGGAGCTGGCGAACACTTAAACGAAATTGGGACATAGTAAACGTAACCAGAGTTATCGCTGCTTATACTCCCAAGAATTAAGGTACTTTCAAAACCATACTTACTAAGACTCATGATCCTGCAAGCACGTGCAGATGTAGACAGGCAGTTGAATCTCAGGCGGCTTGCGTGTTCCGGGTGGCTTTGTGCATCTCTTTTTGTCGTCTCAGTCGGTCAGCTTCATTGCTGATGAGTCAAGGGGTAGGTAGATGAGAATTAGATCTCTAAGTGTTCTGTGTGCAGTCATGAAAACCCTAAACCCTGAACCCTGACACCCCAAACCTCGAAACTCAGAGCCCCTGAACCTTAAATCCTAGACCCTAACCCCTAAACCCTAAATCCCTACGACCCTGAAACCCTCAACCCTATAATTAGATACCTTAGAGGCACCCTTAGTACCCTTTAAAGGAACCCTGAAACCCTAAATCCCTAAATCCTAAATCCCTAAACCCTAAGTCCCTAAACCATCTGACTCTAAAGCCCCTGAAGCCCTAAAACCCTAATCCCTAAATCCCTTAAAGCTCTCTAAAGCCCCTAAGACCCTAAACCCGAGACAGCCCCTGATCCGACTGAACCCCATACCCAGGAATCTTGTCTGTTCCTTAAGGACGAAATGAAACCTAAAAGGGGGGGCTTAATGGGCTATATAGTGTGCTATATAATGGGTATATAATAGATGTCCGGAGTCCCAGACATCGTAGGGACCGAAAAAGCACATAAGAATAAGCATTTTAGGGGGATATCCCTACCTTATTGGGAATCATTATAAGGGGATGTTTCTGGGATATCCCTACCCTAAGGCCCTATATACCCTATAATGGGCTATATAGTGGGTATATAATCGCTATAAGGGTATATACCTAGGGGTCCTTATTAAGGGTCCCTATTCCCTACCTTAAGGACGAAATGAGCCCTAAGAGGGCTTAAGCTTCAAATACCATATAGGGATTCGTAGTATAAGGGTAGCACGTCCCATACTTTTAAAGGTCATTTGGTCTTTAAGGTTTTCCTCTCTTCAAGCGACGAGGTGCTGACTGCCCCAATTGCCACGAATGCTTCTGGACGAAGGCGCCCAGACAGCTCTGTTGGGCACCGCTGCGTCATGCTCCTGTGGTGTCCATCCTAGTGCTTTGCCAGGCTCTACCAGTCTAAACTGCAAACAAGGCAACATTCTTAGACCCCAACTAGAACACCTAGAACCCCTATAGTAACCCTTTGTGGTACCCTTATTGAAGGAGGGATACTTAATCTAACTACGAAGTCCTATCGAATCTCACTCAAGCCGGACTCTTCCGGTTGAAACTCCCGAGAGCGCTCGAAGTGACCTTCTTGAGATGGAGCTTCCTGGAACCCAAAAACTCAAGAGTCTTCAGTTTTGAGGGTTTTAGGTTAGGGGTTAGGGTTGAGGCTTTAGGGCTTAGGGTTTAGGGTTTAAAGCTTAGGGTTGAGGTTGTAGAGTTGAGGGAACCCTAAACCCTTTAGGGTTTCCGGCTTCAGCTGATACTGTTGATGATACAAATCCTGCATTACCTTAAAGACCCTAAACTATGGGAATTGTGGTATATTCCTTATTATGGGTAATGCAGGATTTATATCAACCCTAAACCCTAAACCCTATAGATCCCTTAAAGGAGCCCCTTAAAGGTACCTTAATAGAGCCCTTTAAAGGAACCCCAGGATTGATATCATCAACCGTAGCTCGAGGATGCAGGCCCTCAGGAGAGCGGCTTTGGGGGTTTGGTGTTCAGCGCCCCAAGCTTCCAAACGACTATAGGGGCCTTAGGTACCTTAGGGTTCTTTAAAGGAATCTGTAGGGATCCTTAGGGGGATCTATGGGGTTTAGGGTTTAGGGTCTACTTGAAGGCTCATGGGACTTGGTAAGTAAGGTTATAAGTAGTTTCTATTTAGGATAACCCCACTTAGGGGACTTATCACCCCAATTATAACCTACTTACTAAGTCCCATGATCCTCTAAGTACGGGGCCTTAGTAGCCCAAAGGGTCCAAAGTACCTGTATAGTAGACTGTGGGGTTTCTATTATATTAGGAATTAGGATTATGATTTGGGGAAGTATCTTCCACAACAGTACCTAGAACGCTTTGGGTGGTTAGATTAGGCCCATGATACTACATTTTTTTTATAGGGAATCCCCAACATGGTATGGGTAATTATGAAGGCCCCTATATTACGATCGAGCCCCCCTTCTGATTCTCCAGTCTCTGCATTGGATCATCGACCCAACAAAGGCTCCATGTACTTCTATAGTTGATACTTATGCCTTAAAGGGGTCACTATAGGTACTTTAAAAAGGCCTTCGTGTATAAGTATATACTATATGGATACATGGAGCCTTAGGGCCCCCAAACCCTCAACCCTGAATTCTTTTTTCTGGTCCTAGGGTTTAGGGTTTAGGGTTTAGGGTTTAGGGTTTAGGGTTTAGGGTTTAGGGTTTAGGGATTCCAGGCCCGGAGTGAGACGGACAAGGGCAGCAATCCTGCGAACGGATTGGGCGAGGTGGGAGAATTCAGTGCACTTGGCTTCCTCTAAGGGTACTATAAGGGCCCCTTAAGGGCTCGTGGAGAGTGGCGCTATCCTTGCGAACTCTCCCTTGAGATGAGGTCCAGAGTCAGTTCCCTTAGCCTTAGATTGGAGCTTGGGTGTTGTAAGGTGTTCCTTGACCGGCTTTGTACTATGAGTTCCATACACAAGGCTTGTAACAATGTAGGCTGCCGGTGGTTAGGTCGGAGATTGTGGGTGTCATGGCTTCCTAGCAGTTGTGAAGTTTCGTGCCAAGCCAGAGCGGGGTATCGGAGGACTACCCGCCCCTAAACCCGAAACCCCTCAACCTCAGACCCGATGTAGCTTGGCACGTTGAAGTTGCAGCAAACTGCCCCAAACCCCACAATCCCAAAACCCAAACCTCAGGCCCTAAACCCAAGGCCCGAATCCTACAGTCCCGACTGATGTAAGCCTATACACCTCCTACCAGGTCACACCCTGCCCGTTTTAGGGTACCGATATAGTTTTCGATATAACAGGTCCTAATGCGAACCTCTAGGCTATACCGAAAGCTCCCAAAAGCGCGCACACGGCAGACTGTAGCGTCTCTATATTCGGACTCATTGCTATAATTAGGGTAAGTACCCCCCCCCATATCAGTACCCAGACCCTTTGGCCTATACTGAAAGCTACCAAATCCCACAAAACCCAACCCTAAACCCTGACCCCCAAATCCCAAATCGTTTCAAAGACAGGTCCCCTACTCCGCTGGCACGCGTGGTCATCCAGACAGGTGCCCTGGGCAGAAGATGTCAAGTTTAGGACTTATATCAATAATATGAGTATTGAATGTAGGAACAGTAATATTGTTTTTGATAATGTAGTAGTAGTAATGATGGCAATATTCCGCAATAATGATAACGGCAAGAATCGTAACAGTAGCAGTTCGGCCATGGGGCCTAGGAGCTGTTTTTTTTTCTTTTTGTGTGTGTGTGTGTGTGTGTCGTTTCTTTTTTGTCCGAAGCCTGTACCGCTTAGGATCCACATGACTCCCGAACTAAACCTTAAACCCTTGGAGCCAAGGTGTGCCGATGCCTGCAGCTTGCTTGCAGATCCGCAACCTTACGGGCCTATATCTCACGTGTTGGTTTGCTTTGTGTTGTGTGGTTGTATGGGGTGTGACAGAACGGTTGCCAAACTCCATCGTAGATCTGTGAGTGATGAAGGGTAGCCTTAAACCGTAAACCGTCATCCCCCCATACACTACTAGATCTTCTGCTCTGGGTCGTGGATTATGGTTTTCTGTTCGGGATTCTAAATATTAGTTACGTTACGTATAATTTATAACCCTAGATACTAATTCTCATGATCCGTTAAGTAGGGTGTAGTAACCAATGAACCAAACCGCACCGGGAACCCAATAGGAACCCTAAACCCTAAACCCCCGAACCCCCAAGCCCTAAACCCCTAAACCACCCTTGATACTAAAGCCTAAACCCAAAACCCTAAACCCCCCAAGAAACCCTAAACCCAATATAAATCCTGAGCTCGAAGCCACCCGAACTTTCCAGAAGACCATGGCTTCAACACTGACTCCTCATTCACCACGGTTACGGTGCAGAGTTTACTGGTTTAGGGTTTAGGGCAGTCGGGCGTAGGGAAATAGGGTTTAGGGTAATAGGGTTTAGGGTTTACGGGGTTATGGTGTAGGGTAAGAAGCCGGTGTTGGAGACTCACATGAACGGAACTCCTGCCCTTCTGCCCTTAGCAACCTACAATGGAGATCCTGAGACCGCAAACCCCGAAGCAACTGCTGCTATGAAAGCCACCTCATCCCTAGGCCGGCCAACTACCCTCCATGATACCCCAAATACCCCACTACGGTTCATTATATAAATCCTGCATTATCCATAATGAAGAATATACCATATTGCCATAGTTTACGGTCCTTCAGGTCATGCAGGATTTATATCATCAACCGTACCCTCCATGATACCCCAAATACCCCACTATTAAGGACCCTGACGGCTCCATTAAAGAGGTTTTTGGAGGGGCCCTCAACCTCCCCAGACTTGAGTAGTCTTCAGGTCCGGCTCCAACACTCCTAAACTATACTCTGAACCCTGAACCCTAACCCCGACTCTTAAACCCAACCTTCGGGCCTTGTAGAAAAGGAGCTCAACCAAAAAATAACAACCTGGCGATTTCAAGCTCCAGGAACCCTAAACCCTATACCCTAAACCCTAAACCCTTTTGAAGCTCCAGGCAAGTATGTGCGACGCAAGGGCGGTTGCCGCGATGGTGCCGACTGCCCAAAGTGACCGGAGTCCCAGACATCCAGTAGGGACCGAAAGAGCATTTTATGGGGATATCCCTACCTGATTGGGCTTCATTATAAGGGGATGTATAAGGGATATCCCTACCCTAAGGCCCTATATACCATATAATGGGCTATATAATGGGTATATAATAGCTATATTAAGGATATATACCTAGGGGTCCTTATTAAGGGTCCCTATTCCCTACCTTCAGGACGAAATGAGCCCTAAAAGGGTTTAAGGTTCAAGTAGTACCATACAGGGATTCATAGTATAAGGGTAATAGGTCCCATACTTTTAATTTTAAGGGTCATTTGATCTTTAAGGTAAGGATCCATGTCCCTGTATTGTCTATAGCAAAGTACAACTAATTCGTTCCTCTATGGGTGAGTCCACCTCTTCAAAATGCCACAGCGATGCTGTCACTTGCCGAAGCAGTGGTCTATATAGGCTCTAAGCACAAAGGATCTTTGATCAGCGCATACATGGCGGGTCTGCAGGGTCCGAGCATAACAACTCAAGATGAGATGTCAAGTCTTCCGAGGACTCACTGCACCAACGACCCAAGCACTGCCCAAGCACGATGGAAGACACAGTTCGTGTGCCGAAAGATCACGATGCAACATAAAGCCACCAAGGCCAGCATTGCGCCCATCTTTCAACGTGCCCGACAGGTCTCGGTGATGCGATGATGTATCCGTGTGCAATGTGCACTGCTCACACATGTTTGTACGAGTGCCACCCTGCTCTGCCAGATGCCTGCGAAACAAGTCTCTGCACACTAAACCCCCCATAATACCCCTTATAGGAATCCTTTAAAATCCCCCCTTAAAAGGAAACCTTGGAAGGAACCCCTATTCTAATTATCTCCTTCCGCACACGCACCATAGTCTTTGCGGCAGCGACAAATCGACAAACAAACCTTCTGACTGAAATCTGAACCTAAAAATCTAGGACTTAGAGTAGGGCCTTATTCCCTTTTTGCGGGCTCAGGTTCCCTTCTAAGCCCCTTTGAACCAAAAAGGTCACCCTTTGTATTCCCAGGTTACTCTTGAACCTCGAAATATACTTTCAAAACGTTGCCTGAGCCTTAACATCACCGAGGCGAGCCCTCAAAATACAGGCAAAAACCCACTCCAGTTAGTGAACGCGCAAGGTAGACCCTAAACCCCGAAACCCTAAACCCTATATTCCCTCACCCTAACCTAAACCTGAATGACCAAATGACCCTTGAAAGTAGGGGCCCTATACGCGTATACTATGAATCCCTATATGGTATATGAACCTTTAACCCTTTTAGGGCTCATGTCGTCCTTAAGGAACCGCTAAACCCTAAAGGGAGGAGCCCTCGGATCAAACCTAAACCGCTAAACCCTAAAAGGAGGAACCCTAAACCCTATAACCCTAACCCTAAAGGGAGGGCTCGATCAAAGCGAGCGAGGCCACTTCTGCCACTGGCGCCGAGATGGGCTGAAGAAGAGCTCGGGTTGCTCGGAGGCCGAACCAAAAGGGCTTTTTTTGTAAGGTACCTTACGGTTCTTTAAAGGGATCTATGAGGGTTCTATAAAGGGTTTAGGGTTTAGCCCTGTCCTTAGGGTTTAGGAACCATAAGGTTTTTCCTGTAAGGGCGGTTTAGGGTCTGGGGTTTAGGGTTTAGGGCTCGTTTGGGCGTACCGTCCTTTGAGGGGTATTCTGAGGTTTTTTCCTGTAAGGGCTCGTTTAAGAGTACTTAAAGGGTCATGAGAGTTAGTAATTACATAGGGTTATAAAAATAGTAACTATACTTATGATTACTTATAACACCAATTAGGATACTTATAACCTTACTTACTAGGTCCCCTGATCCTCCGAGTACCGTCCTTTAAGGGGTATTATGAGGGGTGCTTTGCCTTAAGGGCTACTATATGGTACCATTAAGGGATCCTGCTACAATATAGTAAGGTTTTGGCGCTAGGTTGAAGGGTTATACCATAAGGGTACCAGGAAGGGTTGCTATTTGGGATCCTACTAGTAAAATGTGTATGAAAGGTTTTTCCTTTAAAGGTTAGTTCCCGGGTACCATTCCGGGTTTGCTATTAGGGTTACTGTAAGGGCTAGGGCTTCTACAGCGCTAACTGTAAGGCTTTTGTAGTAGATTTAAAGGATAACTGGGTTTATCCTTCTTGAAGGGCTCTTTTAAGCATTCCTGTCAGGAACCTAGTATATAAGGGTGTTAGGATTGTAGGCTTTAGGGCCACTTTAGGGTCGAGGTTTCAGGGTTTGGGGTTTAGGGTCTTGGGGGTTTGGGAGTTTGGGGGGCTTTCGAGTTTGGGGTTCGGCTGTGTCTCGTATTATATGGTTTCAGGTTTGTTGCTTATGTACTTTGAGTAACCGTCAAGATGTGTAGGTTTGGGGCGTTGGTGATTTTTAGGATTTAGCTAGAGCTTCTAATCTGTTCTAGTTAGCATAGCCCCATAATTCGTCTGGGGTTTAGGTTTGGGTTGTGTGGGGTTCAGGCCTGTGGGGTGTCTAGGGCGTACAAAGCTTGCCGGTTTAGGGCTTTTAGGGTTTGGGGGTTAAAGAGTTTAGGGGATGCTATTTTCAGGGTTTAGGAGATTTAGATTTTAGAGCTTGAAGATGTAGGGGTTGAGATTTTTGCGTTATGGGCTTGTGAGGGTTTCGTTACTATCGCTGTTATTGGATCAAGCTATGATTTTGCTCCTTTCCTAAAGGGTCCCAGTCCCTAGGTACTTATATGGGGATACTTCCCCAAATCATTATAGTGATTAATAGTGATTCCTAATATAGATAAACCCTACACGGGTACTAAACCCCAAACTCCATCACATTCTGATGCTCTCCGAGGGCTTCGGTACTTATGTTTCGGGTTACCGATATCTCGAGACAGATCTGATCGTCGTATGTCTGGGTTCTTGTTTAAAGACATAGTTTAAGTTGCCATAAAAAGGAAACTATAGGGGTTCCTTTAAAGGAGATATAAGGGTTCCTTAGGGAATTGAGTTTAAGTTACCATAGTCGGGAATCCATATAATTTACTCCAGGTCCCTCTTATGTTTTTGGGGTGAGCACTTGTTCAGTTCTGAGCCCTTGCCACACGCACTGCACATGGCCTGCTTGGCCCACCGACCTTGATACACCCCTCTGCAGGACCCGAAGACCCACCACAAGACTTCTGATGAAACCAAACAACTTCCTGATCCTCAAAACCCTAAAGCCCTGAAGGCCTGAAACCCCTAAATACCCCTATGCTCTATACTTCAAGCCTTAAGTCCCAAGCCATAAACCATAAAGCGTAACCCCGTACAAGAAAGCCGCGTCCCTCCGCCACAGGTCCCGGTGGGACTCCACCCGCCTGGCTTGGTGCCCCGCGCTTCCACGATGGGATCGGAGGACTCCAGCAATTCAGATGTGGAGACCTTTGGACCAAACGGCCGTCGGGTAAGCATGTCCTTATGCCAAATCACGGTCGTGTTCTCGGTTGGATTCCGAAGCACGCCAGTAGGGCGTCCTTTGTTGGCAAAGGCCACTTGCTCCCTAGATCCTACATCCCTTGTAGAGCCCTCGAATCTCTAATGACTTCTTGGAATTACTAAGTCCTGTGATCGTTTCAGTACCCTAAGGGTCCATGTGCCCCTTTAGCCGCACTTTCGCCCCTACCAGATACTTGAGCCCTTAAGTACCTACATAGGAACTACTTATGGCCAATGTATACGAGATGAGTACACGGACCATGAGGGGTAGGGTTTCGAGGGCTCAGGTCAGTGAGTTAGGGAGTAGAATCTCTACCTATAGTCTCCCTTGTACTTCCTTTTTTGGTTGACCAAAATCTCTAGTATAGGATCCTAACAAAAAACTGGTTAACAACAAAACCTACGATGGAGACTCTAGGTAGTGTCCTCAGTAACCCCTTCATAATAAGCGTACCCTTTTAATTTAATAATGAGGAGGCCCCAGAATAAGAAGGGCAAACGGCCACTATTCAGGAACCCTAAACCCTAAACCTAGTAATGCAAATTTTGGGTTTGTGTGGGTTTGTGTTTGGGTTCAGGGCAGCTGCAGAACGATTTGGAGACCTGAAGCACTGACAAGCAAAGCCCGGTGCTCGACTAGGGCTTTAGGGGTTTAGAGTTAAGGGGTTTAGGGGTTTAGGGTTCAGGGGCTTAGGGTTTAGGGGTTGACGGGATTAGGGCTGTCTACAGATCCGCAGAGGTCTAAGCCCTGTACCCCGAACAAGGTGTGTACTGACTCTTCTTACAAAGCGTTATACACTTCCCTACAGCTGTGCAGTCCATTCCATGTATAGTATGATTATGTCTGACGTAGTTGTAGCAATTCAGCAGCGGGAGGAGTGGTGCTAGAAGTTTCTCGTAAACCCCTTAGTTACTATACAGCCTCAGAGCATATACAAGCGCTGAAAGAACCCTCGCCCGGCTTCAATTGCAGCATGCTTCCTCCCTTTCCGTTTCCTGCCTGTTCCGCTTGCTTGCTGATAGCAGCGAAGATTGATCCAATTTGACTCGCAGGAGGCTCGTGAGGCCGATCACGAATGCCACCAAAACCCAAACCCTAAACCCAAGACCTTAACCCCTAAACCCAACAAGTAAGCCCAAAACTCTAACCCGTAAACCCTAAGCCCCTAAACCCTACTTCTCGACCAGCAGAAGGAGCCTGACGCGGCTTCCATTCCGGAGCTTGATGAGCCACTTGGCCGGCAATTCACAGGGACCTTTAGGGCCCTAAATAATAGGTAGCATACTATAATAGGGACCCAAAAGGGGACTAGGGTTGGGCCCTCATGGGGGTAGGAGGGAGGGGGGTAGGGGGACTATGCTTCCTTAAATTGGCCTTTTATGTCCTATTAAGGCCCCCTACCCCCCCTAAACCCTAAACCCTAAACCCTAAACCCTAAACCCTACCCCCCCCCCTTTTAAGGGTTCTTATGAGTATTGTGGAAGCCGGAGTGTTGCCAATGCTATTCCTCAGGTTTCACATCATAATATGGGTCCAGGGTTTAGGGTTCAGGGTTTAGGGTTGATGATCATGATGATGATAATGATGATGGTATAGTGTACCCCCCCCAAGCCCTATTCATGATGGAGTTTGTTTCCTTCCAGCCCGATTTCCTGCCCGCCTTTAGGTAGGATTTCCGGTCAAGGCCCCTTACATGGGAGTTTCCGAAAATTCGGGACCCCATAAAGTACCCTACATAGTAGGATCCTTACTATAAGGACCCCCAAGTAAGGTACCCTTAATTTTCGGAAACTCCCACATTGAGTTGATTCCTTGCAGGCCAACCCAAAACTTGAATCCTGTACCTTACCCAAAGGGTCCAAGTAACATTATGGTGTATTCTTAGACCCCCAAATACCCTATAAGTATATACCATAATGATATTTGGACCCTTTGGGTTAAACCCTCAACTTGAGTCTTGCTGGGACCTGAACTCCCTTTCAGCCTCAAGCCAGAAGTTGACATCGGGCGGATCCGGATTCTGCCAAGTAACACTTTTCGAGGGCTGTTCATTGTCGGTCATAACTTTTTCCTTGCATTGCAGGGGCCCCCAGAATTAGTTTAGTGAGTAACTAGCAACCCCTAGACCTTCTATCCCCCCCTAATCCCTAATCCCTAAACCCCTGAACGCTGAAGGCCAAGCCTGCCTCTTCCCCAGAAGCTCCTGGGCGACGAGCTGAGCAGCAGGCGCACGGCCTTCTGCTTGAGGGCTTAGGGTTTAGGTTTTTTGGGGCGTTTAAGCTGTAGGTCTTTGGTTGTGTGTTAGGCCGTTGGGCTTTACGTTCTGTTTTTTCTTCGAGGTTTAAGGGTTCGGTTTGTGGGTTTCGGCTTGACGTTTTGGGGTTTGAGGTAGTTTAGGGTTCAGGTTCTGGATTTCAGCAGTGATTGTTGGGTTTACGGTTTGGTTTGGGTGTCAGGGCTGGCTTAAGGTGCATTACCTTAGGGTGCGCATGTTCTGCGACTGGGCGTTGAAGGGCCCTGGAAGGCCTTCGGGTGAATCAGCTTATAAATGTAGGAGCCTGATTAAGAAACCCTGGGCCTATAGTCCCAAAATGGTAGGATGCATCTAAGGAACCCTAATAAAGGCCCAAGGTTCCTACATAACTATAGTACCCTTATTGTTCCCTTATAGATCCCTTATAGTAACCCTTATACACCCCTTTAAAGGAACACCAATACAGGCCCAAGGTTTCTTAATCAGGTTCCTACATTGCCCAGAGGCTTTCTCGAAGATACCTGAACCCGAACCAGCCCACCAGCCCGTAAGCAGCGTGGAATTGGCTTTGAGCGGAGGCTAGGAGTTGTGGTATGATGTAGGCCAGAATTTGGGATGCGCCATGATCCACTCGGGTCATTGGATTGTCGTTTAAATTTCAATTGAGTCAATATTGCATCAGCTAGATGTGGTTTGGGCTTAGTTTGTTTTTTGTTTAAGTGAGCCGGAGCCGGCATGTGAACTCAGAGACCCGGCAAGCTTTCTTGGCTGCAATGAAGTCTAGCGCCGAATCTGGTTACATAAAATGATCGTGCAGCAACAGCTAAGAGAACATATCTAGCAAGAGCAGAAGCAAGCAAGATCAGGAGGGTGGCGCTGCGCTATTCATTACTATGACTGAACAATTACTGAGTTGGGATAGGGTCGGGTTTGGGGTTTAAGCTCATTCCACAGGGTAACTCAGCATTGTTTTTTTATGCCCAAGACACTATTCCGATTATTCTGTCACCAGTGGTAAGATAACATTACTCTTGTCCTAATACTAGTAATACTATTGATGCTACCAAGAACTGTTATGAGTAGTATAGAATTTTTTGTGTTAAGAATGCCCGTTTATTGGACGCACCCGGTTAGCCTGAACGTCGTGGGATAAACCCGGGAAGCGACGGGCAGCAGGGCTTCAGGTATTGAATTCGGCATTCTTAGATAGGCAATGGTAGAGCTTTAAACTTTATTGGCCCTTTCTGTTTGATCTACCATAGAAAGTTTGAGCTTCTTTGGGCCTTGTTATTGCAAAAAGAGCTAAACCAGCTTAGGACATCAGTCGGAGGAGTCTTTGCGCTTGCAGCATCGGGTTTAGCCTTCTGGTTCTTGCTGAAGTAGAGCCCCACGAAGCTGGAGGGTGTAGGGGTTTAGGGCTTCGGGGTTCAGGGTTTAAGGGTTAAGGGGTTTAGGGCTTTTTGGTAACATCATTATCCCAATGCCCTTGAGGTCGTAAATTATCGGTAACTTCAGCAATAATCATCTCCAAACCCTCCCGGGATTGATTATTATACAGGTTTCTGCACTTTCTAGATCTCAGCATCTTGGGCGAAGGGCGCGGGCCCCTCAACCGTGGCCCTAAGCCCTCAACCCTGTTGGTAGAGTAGGTCATCTTTGGCCTTTTTAAGCATAGACAATCCTGCCATGTTTGAAAAACAGTTAGGGCTTTTTTGGGATAAACCCTATGATTAAGCCCTATAAACCCTATAAGCCCGAAACCCTAAACCCGTATAAGCCCTATAAACCCTAAACCCAGGGTGCTCAACTCCTCGGAGGATCATGGGACTCAGCAAGGTAGGTCCTAGACCTTCCAAAATCCCCTAACTCAGGAATATACCTTAAATCATATTAGGGACCCTACTATAACTTAAGGCTTATTCCTTAATTAAGGGATTTTGGAAGGTCTGGGGTTATAGGTCCCCTAAGCGGGGCTGTACCTAATTATACGTAAAGTTGCCTTACTACTGTAAGTCCCATGATCCTTTAGGCACCCCAAACAGGAAAAGATCCCCTATAGAACCCTTCAAGGAGCCCTTTAACCCTTTAAATCTACTACAGTAAAAGCCAGAAAGTTGGAACATGATTATCGTATCCCCTTTAAGGTAAATTATAGGGGATCCTACCATTAATCCATATTCCAACTTTCTGGAGTTCCCTTTAAGTCCCATGACCCTTAAAGTAAGAACTTGCGAGGCTCAGCAACTCCAGTGGAAGGGGCTTTGAGGCCGAGCTTCAGGCGGCCAGAACCCGAAAAAAAGGGGCCTTAACAACTAGAACAGGGGTTCCTTTTTCGGGATCCTCTTAGGGGTCCCTAGTTCCCGAAACCCCTAGGCCCTTGGGGTTAAGGGTTTAGGGGTTTGGGGGTTTAGGGTTTAGAAACGTTCTATAAGGGTCTTAGGGTTCTTTCAAAGCGTTTAAGGGGTTTAGAGCCCTAATATACGGGCCGTAATACATAGAATAGGGGTTCCTTGAAAGGGATCCTTTTAGGGGCTCCTTTGAAAGGGGAATCTATAAGGTTTGCGATAAGGGCTACTATATGGTTTTAGTTTAACTTCTAGGCCCTGTTTCAAGGATTTAGAGATTTTCGAGCTTACCTGGACCCTTAACCTTAAGTTCTTTATGATTTCCCTACATAAGTCTTGAAAAAAGGATGTCAATTGGGGTAAGGTTAGCCCTAAACCCCGACACACCGATATCCCCACCTCCCTGAACCTCTAGACCCGCCTAATTCGTCGGAGTTCTTCAGTTGCGGTCAGTTCGAAGCGGATATGGTTGCGGCTAGATGCTGGTTGCGGCTAGATGCTTGCATCATTGGAGTCTAGCCATACCACCTAGTTAATGGTTTAGGATTCCAGATCATATACGCTGCAGTATTAAGTTGGGAGGGGGGCACCCTTTTTGCAACCTAGCTTGGAAGTAAATTATCAATAACCGCGTACCACGCAGAAGGGTCTCGGCATATCACGGCACACTCAGCAGCTGTAGAACACTAGATCGTACCCAGTGCAAGCTCTCGCATCTTGCTTGCGATCGGAGCGAGTGAATATCTGACCGGGGGCCACGGAACCATCTTTAAGTTCTTCAGGTTCTCTGCGGGCCTGACTGTCTGTCTAGTTGGCTAGTGAGATGATCCACTCATGGTCTTTTTATTGTGCGTTATTCTTGTAGTATGATATGCCATCCCTTATAGACCCCTTTTCAACAACCTCTGGAAGGAACCTCGTCTACCCATTAGACTGCCCCCTGTACTAGACGCTGAAGCCCAATACACCTTACTGAATTTTCATCGCATAAACACCACATCGGTACATGGATCCGAATACAACCTTTACTAGTATCTACAACCCTTAACAACCCGTCTAAAACCTCAGACAATCCTACTGCCCTTCTTGGGGTTTTGCAAGCATGCTAGCGTCGGCTCCGCATAGACCGGGCATAGGTGCATGTGCATTCTCGCAGGACGATGCTGCCTTCGTCGCCTTGTGCCGTCACCCGTCTTCATTGGATACAGCGGAGATTGCGAGATTGAGGGTTTAGTTTCGGGTTTAGGATTTGGGTTAAGTGGAACCTTCTGGATGGATCTTAATTGTTACATTTAATATGTGTTCCGCAGGGTCTTCAACAATGATTCTTTTGCATATGCCGAACCTCACGGATGCGCCCCCAGGACTTTCGACGCTATGGTGCAGGGTTTAGTGTTTGGCTGCCTCCCGTTTACCCGTTACCTTGAAGTACTAGTCCCCTGACCGACCCTGAAGCCCAAACCCCACTCCCTAAACCCTAAGCCCCAAACCAGGCATGATTGGCTGTGATTACGATGTCTGCTATCGGATATTCTATCATATTTCAGTCTTCAGCTGAGGTTTCGTACCGGTTTCACTGAGTTCTTGTCAGGGATCTATAGTTTGAGGCTTTAGGGCTTAGGGTTTAGATACCATGGTCCCCGTATTCTGGTAACCTTGATCAAATTCCCTAGAAAGAGCCAACTCATCCTCTGGCTGGCTTCCTTCCCGATTCCAGACCGTGCCCAGAGAGCCTATTACCCGTTAATTCAGGAATATAGCTTAAATCAGGATATGAATCGCCTGATAATTTAAGGTATATTAAGCAAGGGGTATTGGGCTTTGGGTACCTATAGCCTCCATTGTAGTTCCTTTATTGGTTAGCCAGTTGTATGGCTAGGGTCCTATAATATAGGTCTTGGTTAACCCAAATAGAAAGGAATTACAATGGATACAAATGGGTAGTATAGAAGCCTGCATACTTGTAAGTATGTTTGCTTTTGGTGCTTCTCTTTCGTGTTCTATAACCCAATGGGTCTAAACTACCTATCTAGAATGTAGGGCTTCTATATTAGGAATTGCCATATTGATTTGGGGAAGTATTCCCTATAACGTACCTAGGACGCTTGTACCGCAAATGCGGTTGCTGAGTTTCGGGTTTGCGGCTTAGGGTTTATAGATCCCAAGTTCGGGCTTGTTTGGTCCGTTCAGGGTTTATACTGCGCGCGATGAGCCTTTCCCATTTACGCCACAAATCCTGAACCCACAAACCCTATGAGTCGTGCATCCCAAACCCTGCGCCAGGCACCCATTTCAGTAGCAGAGTTGATAGCCTTTCAAGCCTCTTTGTGGTTTAACAATCCCTGTTGGAATCCCGATGACCTAAAGTTCCCTATGATAACCCTAAACCCTAAAGCCTAGAGTGCGTAAAGAATCCCGAAGCACCTTGAGCTTCCTATGATACCTGTTGATGATATAAATCCTGCATTACCTTAATGGCCCTAAACTATGGGAATTATGGTATATTCCTTATTATGGGTCATGCAGGATTTATATCATCAACCGTACTCGACGAAGAAGCCATGCTTGCCAGGCGATTGGGCTCGTCCTGGCGCTGCTATGGAGAGCTTGACCATTAGCCTCTGAGCAAGCTCTGAGTAAGCGAGCTCTTCTAAGAAGCCTTGTGCGCCAGAAACCAGAGTTTGCGTTGCTCGAGTTAGGGCTGGGCTGCAAGATGTACTAGTGTGGGTTTAGGGTTGAAGCGGGTAGGTTATGCCTGTTTCTCTGAGTTGGAACTAGGCTGATGTAGGATCACTTCCGTTCTTTCCGGTGGTTTCAAAGCAATTTTCTGGCTGATTGGTGCCATGGGCCCAATACACTGCCTGCCCGTATGAAACAAGGGTCACTGAGTCTCGCGATTACCCTATGATCTTAAGGACGAAATGAACCCCAAAAGGGTTTGCAGTTGAGATACCATAAAGGAATTCATGAGTTGGTCTCTGAGCCTGAATGTTTACCGGCATTGCTGAGGGTTCGTTCTTGGGCTCGTACTTGTACTGCTATATGGCCCAAAGCCCTACTCTAATTATTCGGTGTACTGTATTTCTCTCAACCCTCGACCCTACAACCAAAACCCTGCAGAAACTACCATGTTGGTTCAAGCTCCAAGTTTTCAAGCTTAGCAAACTTCCGAGTAATAGAGTAGGTAACCTTTATATAACATTTTGGGTGTACTGGAATCCCCCCATGTAATCTTAACATACTCCCAAAGGTTAACCTTTAGTTCCTGGACTTAGTGGACGGGCCGAAGACAGTTTCTGATGGTGTGCCCGCAATGCTGTTGCAAACTTATGACCCTGTGCAAGACTTTTACTGTGGGTCATGTCTCTGTTGAGCACATAGAGGTCGGAATCGTTTTGGGCAGTTAGTAGTACAATGCTTTCTCGCCCAAAGTGCTATTCTGATCATTCAATTAGCTTCGGGTTGAGGGTTAAGGTAGACAGGGTTGTGCTTTGGGATAATGTTTAGTTTCCCTTATTTCCTTATAAAGGGAACCTATTCAGGGTTTTCGGGTGACTGACACCAGTGCATGCGTCTCGTCTAGGATATGCCCGGGGTCGAGCTAGCTTTTTGGAGGTTATTTTCGTCTCTGGATCTCGTTAGTAGGTGCTGGGTTGAGATGTTTCGTCTTTCTTGAGGACTCCTCCTTTGGCTTTTTTTCGTGCGAGCTTCGGCTTGCTACGTTCTGAACTGATGTTCTCATATCTTTCAGAATGTCTTCAACGTCTATGATGTGCAGGAAGAGGGTTTCATTCAACCTCAGAACGGTGGTACGAGCCGCACCGCCCCGTAGAATATTCCGAGTTCTCCAACTTCCGGTTGCGAGTCCCTAAAACCTGACATGGAGAGTATGAGGGAGTTCGGGCTCACAGACTGAAAAGGCTTCGGGGTGTAGTCGAAGGATTCGATGACCCTGAGGAGCCCCCCTGCGGTTCCACATTGCTCCCCGAGCCTGGCAGGGTGCTTTCTTCGATAATAAGGTGAACACCTTGCCAGCTCGGTTCAACTTTCGTCTATCATTCCACTCTCTGCGGAGATGCTTCTTGGAACTTGATGGGAGGCTCAGATATGTATACATCCTAAAACCCAAAACCCCAAACCCTAAAGTTTAAGACACGTCTAACGGTTAGTGGTGTGCTTCCATCGCGGGGAGTTGTCATGCCTGGAGGGTGTGGCCACAGAGCAAACAGACCGTGACGTGGGCTGCTGGGCTGTGGACGCCTTTTCCTCAATAACAAAGGCCTCCCAAGCTCAGGTAGACCCACTGCTCTGCTCCTCTGCGATCTATTCTCGACGAGCCACCGTCTTGTTCGTGGGCCCTGTAAGTTACAGGTTTCGATCACCTTGGAGCCTCAAATCGGCTTCTTCTGTGCTCGAAGTTGGCAAGAAGCAGTCTATTTTATCAGGCTCGCTCAGCCAACTCGGAGCCCATTTCGTCAGTGATACGAGCTTCCGGAGAAGATTCTGGGAACTGAGGGTCAGGGCACAGGGCTTACAGTTTTGGATTCTTAGGGTCTCTATATATATATATTATTATTAGTATCATTATTATTATTTGTTATTATTATTGTTATTCTTATATATATACATACACACACCACCATTGTGGAAGCAGGCCCCGAAAGATCATCCTTGTTGTGTTTCAGTGGGCTTAAAATCCTAACGGTAGTATTCGTGGACCCTAAACCCCAAAGGGTCCAAGTATCATTATGGTATATACTTATAGGGTATATGGGGGGTCTAAGTATATACCATAATGTTACTTGGCCCCTTGGGGAACCCTACACCCTTTCCTCTAAACTCTAAATCCTTTTTTGCTGTGGTAGCCCTTCGCTGATGGAGTCATCTCTGAGATTTCGGCTTTAGGGTTTGCGGTGTGGGGTCCACGGGTTTAGGGATTAGAGTTAAGGGTGCAGGACTTAGGGTTTAGAGTTTGTTTTTGAGTTTACTGCAGGATTTTGGGTCTTCGATTTTGGGGTTTAGGAATCCTTCGGACAGTGTATGCAGTGCCGGTATATTGTAGCACAGCGCAGGGGCAAGAGCTCATGAATTGCTTCGCGCATTTTGTGCTTTCAATCTTCAGGATCTTCTTCTAGAAAAACAGGGGGGGTTGGCACACCTGGAGGGTGCGACCACAGGGCAAAGTGCCCGTGAAGTGGGCTGCTGGGCTGTGGATGCCTTTACTTAACAAAGGCTTCCCAAACTCGGTAGACCCTCTGCTACGCCATCCCTTGTGCCTCGCTGTCACAGACGATACCACCGTCTTCCTGGATGTTCCAGGAGGCTTTCGGGTTTAGAGTTAGGTGATGTTAGGTGTTTCGGAACTCGATGCCACAATCACAAATTCAGGAGCTATTTCTGAAGGAGCCCTGCGAATTTCTTCCTCCAGGCATACAGACATATTCGTCTTTTCAATCTTATCAGCTTGCAAGCGAAAACAAGTTTTGTGAGAGACGCCTTATACAGTTGTAAATGATTGTTGGATCGGCTTTGGAACATTTTCGGACAAAGCTAGCGGCTTCTGATCTAGAAGCTTGAATACTTACCAAGGTTATTCCTTTGGGTTTCTGATTCCTCTACAATGTACCCCCCCCCAAGCCCTACTCTAAATACGAAGGCCGGCATGTTGTCTCGAAGCGATGACGGGAGAGGCATGAACTGTGACTTTCTCTTGAACAGGCTGAGCTGCCTGCAGCCTGATGAGATTCCCAAGATGGTCCGTATGTATGTATGTCTGTATACTAAATAAGCGAATATAAAGAATATATATATATATATATATATATGTATATATATATATATATATACATACACATATATATATATATATATACACATGCATACATACATACTACTATTGGCATCGATTGTCCTGGCCTGATGAGGATGGTATTCCAGGGCCGACATTCCAAAATCAGCAGTGCCGACGTACATACACACAGTTACACACACATACGTCCAATGTATATATATATATATATATATATATATACAAACATGTGTGTGTCTGCGATTATATCCTTATATATCGTACTCTATCGTTTCATATCTTCTCATGTTAAAGTATACTTCTATTTGTGCTTATGTGCATGTTCGCTTTTTTGTATAATACTTAGATTATGTTTTGCTTATTCTAACATACAGGGACCTTCTGGGTTGCCTTCTCTCCTGCCGTCCGCCTTCTAAGGCAGAGCGAGCAGGTGAGGCTCGGGAGGTGAGGATTCAACTGGAACAGTTCCTCTAAGGCTAGTGCCCTTAGAACTTAGGAAGTAGGGTTTGTGCCAGTATGACAAACCCAAAGCATTTATTGTTGGATCTGTTTTATTCTGGTTCGAAGCGTGCGCAAATGAAGGGCTACAATAAGGATTGCACTGCAAATCGCACTGTTTGTCTCTTCGCCACTCCACATATGTCAGAGAGAAGCCTGGGCACTTACTGTACTTAGAGGTACTTAGAAATAACTTTTAATCTTTGGTTATTGTAATCCCTAAGAAACAGCTAAAATTCCATTTTTGCTAGGGTTCTAAGTTCAGTATAGTGTAGTAATGTGTCAGGGGTTGGGGTTTAGGGATGTTTAGGGTTTAGGTTTTGCTAGCTTTAGTATGTCGCGCAGACTTAGATCCTCGGATGAGTGAGTAAGTAGTGGTACGATTGCTAAGAAGGAACTTAGGGTTATGTTATACTATAGTTATACTTATAACTATAGTATAAGCCGTTAAAGCCCTGCTCCAATTACATAATTGAGCTCAGCCTCTATTGATTAATTACCCGTCGATCAGTCGCTTCAGCCTTCATGTCGCTGTTCCGACTTTGTTATTCGTCTTCCTAATCATATTCAACATTTAGTTCCCCAGGATACTTGACAAGCAGCTACAGCAGACCATAAGCTAGAGCAGCACCAACAGGAACGAGTCTGGCCAATTGAAGTAGTAGACTTATTTAGGGTTTAAGGCAGTAGGAGTTCAGGGTTTCCGGTTCTAACTTGCAGCAAGGAGCCCTGCGGAATAGGGGCTCTAGCAATAAGAGTCGGTTTTGGGGACAGATTACAGTGCATTTAGTTAAGAGGAGATATGATCAGAAGCAGATGTCAGGGTTGTCAGTTTCGGCTACTACTCCATGTTTGTGTCAGGGTTTAGAATTTAGGGTTTAGGGCCGCGATGCCTCACATCCCTGTTTATATGCCCGTGGCTGCAAGAGGCAGCCAAGCCACGGCCCAGCCTTGTTACACAGGTCCACATCCGGATAGTGCTTGGCTGCTCCCTCTCCTTCACTCAGAAGACGGGGCGTCTCTGTCCTCCAACTTCCCCTTGCTAGTTGGTCTTAAGCCTGAAAGCAGTAAGCTCGGCGCAAGCTCTGATACCGAAGCCGCAGGACTTAGGTTGTTTATTCCATAAGGCTCCTCAGTATAACTATACTTGGAGCGATACTTTCATGTGCACCAAAACCCTAAATCCTCAGCCCTAAGCCGTATTCTAGCTGTCAAGGCCCTTCTCCGAAGCCATCGGTTTCCACAGCACCGAAGCGCACTATGAGCCATGGACACCGGACACCACTGTTATAAGGCCCCTATCTAAACCCCTGAAAGTAACCCGACTGGCAACCCTCAGTGGTACCATGTGGTACCGTTCTAACAGCCCTTAAAATGGACCATTCGAGCATGATAATTGCACCTACCTGTAGTCTCCATCGTAGTTTTTTTTGTGGTTAACCAGTTATATGGCGAGGATCCTATGATATAGATTTTGGTTAAAAGAAGGAACTACAGTGGAGACTCTAGGTCGGGTCCCTTTGGCATTCCTAGGCCCTCAAGATAATACGGCACCCTTATATATAAACGAGACCCTGAAACGGACCCTCACCCAAAAATCCCGCAATTTAATAAACCGAAAAGAAGAGACCCTAATAAAGTTATAGTGCCTTTTTAAGGAACCCTTGTAGTAGCCCATATAGTAACCCGTTAACGGAAGCCTAAGGTACCCCTATTTTCGGAAACTCCCACATCCTTGAGCCTGCGACGTTCCTCCTCTTTCAAAGCGATAGTTGTATCCTAAGGGCTCCGATAAAGGGAATCTTTAACAGGTTCTGCTCCTTTAAGGGATCTTTAAAGGGTTCTGTTCCTTTAAGGGGTCTTACAGGGGTTCCGATAATTGGGATCTTTAAGGGGTTCTGCTCTTTTAAGGGATCTGTGAGGTTCCGTTAAGGGATCTCCAAGGGGTTCCTATAAGGGGGCTTTGAAGTTGGGGTGTGATTGGGTCTCAGGGTTTAGGGTTTTAGGGGTTTAGGGTTTGGGGTTTAGGGTTTAGGGTTTCGGGCTTAAAGTTCGAGGTTCTCGTGAAGAGCGGGATCGGAGAGGAGAACACGAATGTCTTCATTCCAAATCCGGTTGGGCGAGGTTAGACCTTCAGGATCTCAATGCGGCCTGCTATTGCATTACTATGTTTGTTTCTTTTTTGCGGTTTTTGCGGGAAGTGTTGCAATACTCTGGTCTTCTTATCAGGATCGTATTGCTGTTAAAAGCCCTGAATGGCGCACGAGTCGGAAGTGGAGGCAAGAGGCCTTTCCCAGCAAGTGTTGGCGAAACCGTGCACGTGTGATCGTTCCTTTGTCCACTCGTGCTTTCGTCTTAGGTAAAAGCTGGCACTGCGTGATTGAGATCAAATCAGCTGCCGGCTATGAACCACTTGGAGGAGCGGGCGATGTCTGAGAATCTCGGACATAGCTACACCTGCCGGCTACATACGAGGCAAAACTTCGGATGAGGAGGCCATGACACTACCTGAGTGGCTGAGTAGGTAACCTTGAAACGGAATCCTGCTACCATTAAAAGGTCAACCTTTGACTTTGTGGGCTAAGATACTCAGCCCCACAGCTACTTTACGTGGTTTCCGTGCGGCAGGTGTGCGTTGCCTTTGCTCGGATTCGAAAGCACTGCTGGGTTTGGCACCTCTATCCTCACTCCTGAACCTCTTATATATATATATAGGCAGAGCCCCAACTTGGAGGATCAGGGGACCCAGTAAGTAAGGTTATAAGTACCCTAATTGGGGTTATAAGTAGTTATAAGTATAGTTACCTTAATTATAACCTTAGTTACTAAGTCCCATGATCCTTTAAGAAACCTTGCTAAAGCTACGCTCATGCAGCCTTACCCAAGCTTGTGCTCATCGCAGGCTGAGCTAGAGTCGAAGGAAGCGCACTGTCTTTTTCTTCCAAGGTCTGGGGTTAGAGACCCCTCACGGTTTTTGGATTCGGGTGGTTGTCAATATTAGGGTCCTTTTTTGGGTCCCTATTATAATACGGCACCTAATATTTAGGGTACCCAAAAATTGACCGTTATTTTGACAACCACCCATTCAGGGTTGAAGGTTGAGGGGTTTCAGTGTTCCGGGCTCAGGGTTCAAAGAGTTCAAGCGCGGAACCATGGGAGCTTCTAGACAGCGAGGAAAAGATGGCGAAAGTACAATAGGGGCCCAAATAACTACCAAAACTAGTTTGGGGGGTTCCTGATTGTAACGATAGCAAAAAAAAGCCTCAAACCCCTATTCTATTTATTTCGGCCCCCTATATCGTTTCAACTCCTGGCGGCAGTGGTGTTCTCCAGTTTCCGGGGGCCGCAGCAGTTCGATGAGGGTCTTTCGAGCGATTCGTCATGTGCACTTCCCTGAACGGACTCTTTGGTCCTATAGTAGAGCAGCCGCTCCCCGATGCGAGTCATCACAGGAAGAAACGCGACACCTCCTGTGAGATTCGCACAAGATGGGCCCTTTTCTGCACCCAACAGACAGAGATCCAGTTGGCGTCACAAAGGGTCGGCAAGACACGGCCATTTTTCTGGATTTTCGCTAGGTGCTTCTGCGGAGCTTGAGCACCGGCTGTTTAACCCAAGCCAGGGATCTGATTCCGTGAGCCCCAAAGCAAGTTAGTGAGCGTGTCCCCTAGTAAGCTATATACTTATACTATGGTAGTCGCGTGTAGTCCCTGCTAATTACCCTGTACATAGGCACCCGAAGCTTGTTACAGGATTGCTGAGGTGTGAGCCGAAGCCCCGCAGCAACGACCTAATAAAGAAGCCTGAATAACTGCCAATACTATTGCTTAGTGCTCCTTACTACAGATACTGTACTGCAACGCACGCCCGTACTCTGTTCTAAACACCGAGGACCCTAGATGAAACTCTAAACCCTAAAGAAACCCTAAACCCCAGACCCAAGCCTAAAACCTTAAAGAACTCACCTTTGGTCAGTAGGGAATGGAGGAACGGGGTACAATTGACAATTTTAACTAATATTACTACCATTCTTCCATTCCCTACTAACCAAGGGTAAGAGAAAGCCCGATCCAGCTCCTGCGGGCCACACGAAACACATATCATGGCATACTTTAGAGTTCGTCGTTCGTAATGTTATACAAACAAGAAAACTATAGTTCGTCAGGGTTTGTGATGTAAGTCAAGCAACATATGTGGAAGAATCATGTGGTATTTCATGGCTTGATATGTTTCAGTGACGCAGATTGCGTAGTTTCAATATATTATGAAACTGTGTAGTGCACTGAAGTATGCCAAAGTGTATCACATTATGTGAATGCGTCGTATGGTTTATTATTTTATATGATAATACATATACTCGTACAGTGTATCAACGTGTAATATAGTGCAGTCAAGTCTACTCTTAGTATATTACACGGTGTTTTATATGTTATTACGTCGCTGTTTCGCTGTTCTTACTTTGTGTTGTCACCGTTCTGTTCGTTTTAGTAAACTATACTACCCGTTCGTTCTGTTCGTTTGTATTACAGTGTCTTCTAGCCTGTTCTGCTCCATTCGGCTCTATGGGATTTTACTCGGAGGGGCAGGGGACTTAGTAAGTCGTTTATAAGTAGAGTTATAATTGGGGTAACTCCATTTAGGGTACTTATAACTCTACCTATAACCTTCTTACTAAGTCCCCTGCCTCTCGAAGCCTTACATCATAACACAGTTTTTGTTGTACTAGGTTTTGTGCAATAGCATGTTACCGTGCATTATGTTGTGTTGTGCTATGTTTACAGTAGATCAGTTTTCTTTGTACGGAATGTTTAAACGTGAATTAGTCGTTGATTGTGGGCTCGTCCAACTACTACGTGTTTACGTGCAAGCTCAACATGCAGCCAGCCCGGTGTAGAGCGTAGTGTACAGGCGTACAGATCCCAGCAGACCTTGACCCTTGAACTCGGATTAGGGCAGCTTTGCATCCCTGGCGTGGTCTCAGACTTCTTCGAATCTTGGTCGACACGGGGGCGCTTTAGACCACCGTGCCGATCGGAACAGGCCGGGAACGTAATGTCTTTCCAGCCACATGGAAAGTTCCTTTCCTTGTGTGAGTCACGGACAGACGTGGTGACCTCACACTTCTAGAATCGAGAGAACATGAAGGGGAGTCTCGTTCTGCGGATGTTGCTGTAGATTTTTCAAACAACCATGCATGATTCCCCATATACCCGTGTGGCTAGCTTAGACCGAAGGCAGGTAGCAGTCCTTTGGGATTGTGTTGAGGCACCTCAGCTATTCTGCGAGGCATCTTACTCCAGAAATTCTCTAGTGGAACGCAGAGTTCTGTAGAATGAAGGTGGCATAGGACGGTGTTTAAGACCCGAGTCGTCGGTCTGCAGCTATCCGGGAGTCAGGAATCTGGGACTTACGTTTCTGTAGGGCGATGACGGTTTTGCGGTTTGATGTATGTTGGCTTGCCTGAACAACCCTAATCCCTGCACCCTAAACCCAGCCCAAACCCCCAACTAAGGGCTGGATGTACGGAAGAAGCCATTGTGTTTTTCACCAGTAGAGATCTATGCACTGCCAGGCAACTATGTCGTGCTTAGTGGGGCAGACATTAGTTCGTGAGGCCTGCATATGCCGGAAACGTGTCGACGTCAGATTACTCTAGGGGTCCCCATAAAGTCCGTCTGTATTTATACTCTATAGCCAATGTACCCTAAAGCCCTACCGAGGCCCCTATAGATTAACAAAAAGAACGCTTCTTGCGTCATTTTGGTAAACTCAGGCTGTTGACAGCGATGCGCGCTGCGATGAATCCTAAGTCTGGAGCCACAGCTTCGGGTTGATTCACGGTTTAGGATGGTTTGGGGTTTAGGGTTTTAGGGTACAGGATGGTTTAGTGGCTCCCTGTATCCCCTAGATAAACTGCTACTACTCTGGCGCTCAAGATTAGACAGTCCTGTTCCTGGATGGGTTTAGAGTTTAGGGTAGGGGTCAGAATAGTGCCCGTATAGCCCCTGTATAATCTACTTACAGCCTACAGCAAGAGCCCTGTTCGAATGACTATGGCCCTCATATTAGTCTGCATCTGTGGCGCAGAGATTCACCCGCACTCTCGACAGCACGTTTCGAAAGAAGCTGGATTCAAGACCGGGCCCACAAGTGAGCTCTGAAATCTTAAGGTTTAGGGTGGATTTTTGGGCCATCCGAGCTTGTGTGCCCTGTCTGTTGGCTCAATGAGAAGAGAAGCAGCAAGAACTACGGTTGATGATATAAATCGTGCTTAAGGTCAGCAGCAGCAGGAGAAGTATCAGTAGTAGCATGCGTAGTAGTGGTAGCATGTGTATTGCTAGTAGTGGCAGCAGCAAGAAGCGCTTCTGAGCGCGAGAGAAGCATCAACATACTATACTCAATTAATTCTCGGCATCAATCTTAAGCTCCAAGCTACAAACGACAAGACGGGATCCTCAATATCATCCTAAGTCGTTGTCTTGATGAGCACATTGAGAAGCTGGTCGGGTTCTCGAGCAGAATATGGCAGAATGACTGGAATTTGGCTGTGGAGTAGGAGCCTCAAGGAATACGGTAACCCCCAACAAGTTGGAAACCGGATTAAGGCCAAATAGTGCTGGGATTCCTTCTACATTACTCTTAAGGATTGAGGCTATGGGGTTTCCAACTTTTGGGCTTCTACTGTAGCATTATCTAACCGTTGATATCGGAGGAGCTAAGGAGCCAGGGATGATGATCATCCCTATTAAATAAGGAGCTAAAGAGCCAAGGGAACCCCCAAAACCACTGGTTAGTTATCATCCTGAACCCACATCAATAGATCAGACTTCTATGTCAGACCTACTCTGCGAAATCTAGTTGCAGACCTGGTTGACTCGACAGTGGTTTTCGAAGGGTGATCCAAACTAGGGTCCTGACTAGAATTCAGCATAGACGTGTAACACGGACCTTCTTTCTGCAACCAACTTTATTTGCACCTCAAGTTGCAAAGCCAGCACGTCTCCATACTCTGGCGTCTGAAGGTACGCCCTAAACCCTAAACTTGCTAGAAAGATCCCTCAAACCCATTAACCCGTATGATATGCGGGCCTGAATAATTGCCTGTACTGTTTGAAGGGGCTCCTTATAAGTGTAGTGTAATGGGCCTCGAAACCCTATTCTCACTATTACGGCCCCTAGAGTACACCCTACCCTCGCCTGAAGGATCCCCCAAATCCAACCCGCATAAATCCGTGGCCTCATCCTCAACTGAATGTCGATGTTCTGAGTTCTGTGTGCCCCACAGGGTCCTGAGTACCTGCTCGTAGAATGTATACAGGCTTCTTGATTAGGAGCTACTATCATGATTTGGGGAAGTTTCCCCCATATCAGTAGCTATAGGACCCTTTGGGTTTATGGATTGGAGGCCTGGGTCTTGGAACCGGCTAACGCGCGCT